TTTTTTTTTCTTGCTTCTATGGTGTTGAGGAATCGAACCCAGGGCCTCATGTGTGCAAGACAAGTGCTCTACCACTGAGCCACCTTCCCAGCCCTTGCTTTGTTTTTTGTTTATGGGGTTTTTCTGTTGTTGTTGTTGTTTTTGCTCAAAGCTAGCACTGTACTATTTGAGCCACAGCTCCATTTCCAAGTTTTTGGTGGTTATTTGGAGATAAGAATCTCACAGACTTTCCTGCCTGATCTCACCTCAAGAGAAGAGTCTCACAGACTTTCCTACCTGGTCTCACCTCAAACTGCAATTCTCAGCAGGGCATAGGTGGCTCAAGCCTATAATTCTAGCTACTCAGGAGGCTGAGATCTGAGGATCGTAGTTCAAAGCCAGCCCTGGCAGGAAAGTCCTTAAGACTCTTATCTCCAATAAACAACCAGAAAACGGGAAGTGGCGCTGTGGCTCAAGTGATAGAACTGAAGAGCTGAGGGACAGCGCCCAGGCTCAGAGTTCAAGACCCAAGACTGACCAAAACTGAAACAAACCAACGAAAAAAACCCTGCAATTCTCAAATCTCAGCCTCCCATGTAGCTAGGACTATAGGAGTGAGCCATTGGCATCCTGTGACAAGTCTACTCTTAATTACTACAATTAACTGGCAAAAGGCTGAAAGTGGAGATATAGCTCAAATGGTAGAGCACCAGCTAAAAGAGAGAGACGCACACACACAAACACGCAAACACACATACACACACCCAAATCCATACTAGTAATTATTAAAATGTATGTGATAAAAGTATAAAAGTGCTTACCATGCTTTGAAGAATTTTTAGTGCTTCCTCTTTACCTTCAAGTTGTCTTTGAGATGCCTCAAGTTCAGTTTTTAAAATTTCTACTTCCTGTAGACAGAAATAAAGTTAAATCTTCCTGTGTGCAATATAGGCAAATCTAAAAGTTAGTCCCCATACCTTTGACTCAGAGGACCTTCACTTAGCAAGTGAGAGAGTCTGCTAAAATTGAGAGCCTACCAAGTATCAGCCAAATCTTTCTGCTTTTTCTCAAATAGAACACATAAGAAACAATATGGGGAAAATTCTTTAGGTCACATAAAATAATTATGGCTTATATTGTATCCCCCTAAAAGACACACACACACACACACACACACACACACACACACACACACACACACACACACACGTCTTAACCCCTGGAAAGATGAATATGACCTTATTTGGAAAGGTGGTCTTAATGGATTCTGATAGGTTTTGTTTGTTTGTTTGTTATTGTTGTTGTTTGTGGATTTATTTATTTATTTTTGCCAGTCCTGGGGCTTGAACTCAGGGCCTGGGTACTGTCTCTGAGCTTCTTTTGCTAAGTTACTCTACCACTTGAGCCACAGTGCCACTTCCGGCTTTTTCTGATTATGTGGTACCAAGGAATTGAACTCAGACTTCATGCATGCTAGGCAAGCACTCTACCACTGAACCACATTCCCAGCCCCCATTTACTTTTACTTATTTGTACCAATACTGGGACTTGAACTTGAGTTCTTACTTGTTTAAATTTCTGTAGTTTTAAATCACCAGCTTTCTGTCCTTGGTCACAGCTATAGGAAATTAAGAGAGTTGGGGGTCTTTCCTTTTTTTCTTCTTTCTTTCTTTTTGGTGGTGCTGAAATTTGAATTTAGGACCTTGCAACTAAGAGAGTTATTTTCACTAGAGTTATACCCACACTAAGGTGGGCTTCCTGCTTCCCAGGGGACTGGCTTCCTCTCTGCTGCTATGCTTACTAAGCTGGGGGGGGGTGCTCCTTGGAACCGTAAGAGACTGACTTCAAACACATAAAAGAAAGATAGGGGGGCTGGGAAGGTGGCTCGGTGGTAGAGCGCTTGCCTTGCATGCATGAGGCCCTGGGTTCGATTCCTCAGCACCACATAAGCAAAAATAAAAAAGCCAGAAGTGGCGCTGTGGCTCAAGTGGTAGAGCGCTAGCCTTGAGCTGAAGAGCTGAGGGACAGCGCCCAGGCCCAGAGTTCAGGCCCCACGACTGGACCCAAAAATTAAAAAAAAAAAAAAAAAAGAAAGATAGGAATGGAAGGATAAATGGTGAACCAATGAAGCAGTGGCTTGAACTTGGGGGGCTGGGTGTTGTCTCTGAACTTTTTCGCTCAAGGCCAATGCTCTATCACTTTGAGCCACAGCACCAATTCTAGTTTGCTGGTGGTTAACTGGAGATCAGAGTCTCCCAGATTTTCCTACCTGGGTTGGCTCAGAACCACAACACTCAGATCTCAGCTTCCTGAGTAGCTAGGATTGCAGGCATGAGTCACAAGTGCTCGGCTTCCCTGGTCATTTTTTGAGGTAAGGGTTTTACTTCCTGCCTAGGCTCAAGTCTGTACTGTGATCTGCCTGTTTTAGGCTTTCCATTAATGTTGGGATGACAGGGGCACATCACCACGTGGAGCTTCTCGCTGTTTAATTGGACTATTGTGGATTCTCTACCTAAGCTGCCTTGAACCTCCATCCTCCCACTCGTGTCCCATGTGACTGAGAATGCCATGTGTGTTCCATTGCACCCAGATATAAGAGGGGGCATAAGAGGGGTCTTGAGAAATTTTCTTTCTGAGCTGGCCTTGAACTACATTCTCAACTTCTCAAGCAGCTAGAATTACAGGCATGAGCCATCGACACCTGGTAAAGACAGCTTGTTTCAAATTGCACGTATAGGGAAGGCATTTGGATAGAAGTAACACCCACTTTATCTAGGAGATTAGAGAAGTAGAGCCAAAGGGAGAATGGTGGGTGTGATCATATAAAAGTGGCCTTTTTAAGAGATGAAGAACATAAGATACATAAGTCTGTTGAAAAGTACGGGCTCAAGGGAAAGAAAAGGTGGGACTAGGGTTATAGCTGGGTAGCATGATTGACTGGCATAGTTGAAACCCTGGGGCCCATCCATAAGAGAAAGAAAGGAAAAAAAGAATGAAGAATGGGTATGCATGGGCTTTAGTCTGGAGAAGTCTGGGGTGTGGCTCACTGAGGATGCATGCTTTTCTGAGTGTGTGTGCCAGTCCCAGGCTTAATATCAGGGCCTGGGTGCTGCTCCTGAGCTTTTGTGCTAAGGGCTAGCTTTCTACTACTTGAGTCAAAGCTCCACTTTTGAGTTTTTGGGATTCATTGGAAATGTAAGTCTCATAGACTTTCTACCTGAGCTGGCTTCCTGATCTCAGCCTCCTAAGTAGCTAGGATTACAAGCATGAGCCACCAACACCCAGTGTTTTTGTTTGTTTGTTTATAATTAGCAATATGAACTCAGGGCCTTGCACTTGCTAGGCACTTGAATGTTACCCCCAGCCTATAGAGTGCATGCTTGACATGTGGGAGGCTTTGGACTGAGTTGAGTTCCAAGCACAGACATGCACCAAAAAACCCAGTATAGGCCTTCTGTACAATTTAAATGAAATATCAGTGGACTAACTTCACGTGAAAAAAAAATTTTTTGCGTGTGTGGGGGGTCTGGTCGTGGGGCCTGAACTCTGGGCCTGGGCGCTGTCCCTCAGCTCTTCAGCTCAAGGCTAGCGCTCTACCACTTGAGCCACAGCACCACTTCCGGCATTTTTCTTTTTTGCTTATGTGGTGCTGAGGAATCAAACCCAGGGCCTCATGCATGCAAGGCAAGCGCTCTACCACTGAGCCACCTTCCCAGTCCCTCACGTGAAAATTTCTGTATTAGCAAGAGGACCTACCTCTAAAGTTTCATGAAGACGTTGCCTTAATTCTTCATTTGATAATTCTGAATTAGAATCTATTAGAGGGGGAAAAAAAAACTTGAAATACTTCTTTAGTTAAATATAGGACATTAATATTTAGGTTAAAACATTTCACAAAGGAAAAGATACATCATTTTGAATAAGAACACTTTGTAGGACTATAATAAAAACTTATGTGGGGAACTGGCTAATTTCCATATCCAAACACAAATGTATAGAAAAATATGAATGTTAAGTAAAAACAAGTAGACTTGTGTGTGTGTGTGTGTGTGTGTGTGTGTGTGTGTGTGTGTGTGCATGTGTGCCAGTCCTGGGGCTTGAACTCAAGGCCTGTGTACTGTCTCTAAGCTTTTTTGCTCAAGACTAGTGCTCTAGTGCTACAGCTCCACTTCTGGTTTTTGGTCGTTAATTGGAAATAGGAGTTTCATGAACTTTCCTGCCTAAGCTACCTTTGAACCTCTATCCTCAGCAATCGGCCTCCTGAGTAGTTAGGATTATAGGCATGAGCCACTAGCACCAAGCTTCTAAATGTTTTTGATTTGCAGTTCGTTAAAACTGAGGATGCAGAATTTATAAATCAAGAGGGCTAACTGTATTTTCATGTTGTCCTAACTCATGTTTATTTTAATTAGAGAGGAGTTTCAGGAGGGGAAGATTTACAGCATGGCTTACACAAAATTCAACCAGACAAGAGCTGGTACACAATCTGTTGGACTCAACAGCAGAACTTTTAAAACATTCACTACAATATGATTCTGAATTTTAGGCTTTCTTTTCACAGAAGACATCATTGTTTCTTGGTTATATTAAAATTGCACTTTTTTTTTTTGTCAGTCATGGGGCTTGAACTCTGGGCCTGGGTGCTGTCCCTGAACTCTTCAGCTCAAGGTGAGCACTCTACCACTTGAGCCATTTCTGGTTTTCTGATGGTTAATTAGAAATAAGAGTCTCTCAGATGTTCTCCCTTGGCTGGCTTTGAACCACAATCCTCAGATCTCAGCCTTCTGAGTTGCTAGGAATACAGGTGTAAGCCACCAGCCTGGCTTAAAATTTCATTTTCTTTCTTTCTTTCTTTCTTTCTTTCTTTCTTTCTTTCTTTCTTTCTTTCTTTCTTTCTTTCTTTCTTCCTTCCTTCCTTCCTTCCTTCCTTCCTTTTTCTTTCTTTTATTTTGCCAGTCCTGAGGTTTGAACTCAGGGCCTGGGCACTGTCCCTGAGCTTCGTTTGCTCAAGGCTAGTACTCTACCACTTGAACCACAGCTCCATTTCCCACTTTTTCTGTTTATGTGGTACTGAGGAATCGAACCCAGGGCTTCATACATGCTAGGCAAGCACTCTACCACTAAGCCACATTCCCAGACCCAAATTTCATTTCTTTAAGGTGAATAAAGGCAGTCATGGTATTCAGTATACATTATGTAGAACATGAAACATGCAACTTATGGGCAGGAGAGGGAGGGGAAAAGTGGGGGGAAATGAAGGAGGGGGTGACATTGTCCAAAGAAATGTACACTTTACCTGACGTATGAAATGGTAGTCCCTCTGCACAACACCTTAATAATAACAATAAAATTATATTTTAAAAAAGCTTGGCACTGGTGGCTCATGCCTGTAATTCTAGCTACTCAGGAGGCTGAGGTCTGAAGATCTCGGTTTGAAGCAAGAAAGTCTATGAGACTTTTATATCCAATCAACTACTCAGAAAAGGCCAGAAGTGGTGCTGTCGTCTTGAAAGAGTGGCCTTGAGAGAAAAAGCTCAGGGCCAGTGCCAAGACCCTGAGTTCAAGCCCCAGGACTTTCAAAAGGAAGAAAGGAAGAAGGAAGGAAGGAAAGAAAGAGAGAGAGAGAAAGGAAAGAAAGAAAGAGAAGAAAAGAAAAAAGAAAAGACAAAGGAAGTGACACTGTGGCTCAAGTGGTAGAGCGCTAGCCTTGAGCTGAAGAGCTGAGGGACAGCGCTCAGGCCCAGAGTTCAAGCCCCACAACCAACCAAAAAAAGAAAAAAAGAAAAAGAAAAGAAAAGAAAAAGAAAGAGAGAGAAAAAGAGAGGGAGAGAGAGGGAGAGAAAGGGAGGGAGGGAAAGAAAGGAAGCAAGGAAGGAAGGAAGGAAGAGACTGGGAAGGTGGCTCAGTGGTAGAGTGCTTGCTTTGCATACATGAGGCCTGGATTCGATTCTTCAGCATCACATAAGCAGAAAAAGCTGGATGTGGTGCTGTGGTTCAAGAGCTGAGGGACAGCTGGGTGCTGGTGGCTCACGCCTGTAATCCTAGCTACTCAGGAGGCTGAGATCTGAGGATCATGGTTCAAAGCCAGCCCAAGCAGAAAAGTCCATGAGACTCTGATCTCCAATAAACCACTAGAGAACTGGAAGTGGCACTGTGACTCAAGAGGTAGAGCACTTGTCTTGAGCTGAAGAACTGAGGACTGAGCACTCAGGCCCAGAGTTCAAGCCCCACGACCTACAAAAAAAAAAAAAAAGAAAGAAAAAGAAAAGAGCTGAGGGACAGCACCCAGGCCCAGAGTTCAGGCCCCATGACTGACAAAAAAAAAAAAAAGGAAAGAAAGAATGAACGAATGAATGAAAGAGAAAGAAAGAAATATTCCTTTACTTAACTGAAACTTATGCCTGGTATAGTGGTACCAATAAATGTATACTGCTTAAGGGGGAAAAAAGGACAGGATTGGAGGTGTGGTAGAGGTGTGGCTCATGTGGTAGAGCACCTAGCAAGTCGAAGCCCTGAGTAGTTAATCACCCACTGAAATCACTAGAAAGCATATATTATTAATTTTACTAATCACTGTGGGTGATTAGTAAAATACTTGTAAATATAGGCATTTAGGGTAATATTTACAGGGAAGGAGGAGGAAAATGCAGCGTGCTTACCAGAGCTACTCTGTCTCCTGAAACTGGAGGTTCCATACCCCGGAGGGCACCCATCCTGCAGACTGCCATGCTTGCAATACTGAAAAAGGGCTCCTCCTGTTTCTTCCCCCTTGCTTGAAAATGGAGGTGGGCTACAGTGCTTCCCGACCGATCTTTTCTTGGACATGGATAAATGTGAACCTTCCACTTTGTAAATGCCACTGGGTCTTCTCCCGAGGCCGTAGCCCAGATCGCCTTCGGTCATGTCATCCTCTTCTGTTCCCCAGATCTGTACCTCTGACTCACTTGAGGGCCTCACCTCCTTGCTCATTAGCCAAATGTGGGCTTTACTGTATGGGAAAACAGGTCACCTGCAGTTGGGAAAAATCAGCACTTAAAAACAGTGAAATAGGGGCTGGGAAGGTGGCTCAGTGGTAGAGCGCTTGCCTTGCATGCCTGAGGCCCTGGGTTCAATTCCTCAGCACCACATAAGCAAAAAGAAAAAAGCTGGAAGTGGCGCTGTGGCTCAAATGGTAGAGTGCTAGCCTTGAGCTGAAGAGCTGAGGGACAGCACCCAGGCCCAGAGTTCAAGCCCCACAACCGGACCCCCCCAAAAAAACAAACAATAAAACAGTGAAATAGATCCAGCAATGCCACTTCTAGAAGTTTATCCAAAGATTTAAAATCAAGTTGAAGAGGTATCTACGTTGTTCAAATAGCCAAGCTATGAATAGAGAAAATGTGGTGCACCCAAGTGCAAACACAGTAGAAAATTGGTTAGCCAAAAGAAACTCTCTTTGAAGTTTGGTGGAGCATGACAAATTAGATAAAACTAAACCATATGAAGTAAGATAGGCACAGAAGACAAATACCACATGATATTACTTTAATGATGAATCTAAAACAACAGAGGCTGTGGAGTTAGGGGTGACAGTTAAAGGTACAAAGTGTTAATTAGGAAAAAAGCCAGCAGCTCTACAAGGTGAGCACTTTCCATTCAATTCTCCAGTGGATGAGTCCATGTCTGACCCACTGACTGAAATGCAATCCTTATTAAGATTGCTTTAATAAATGACTAAAAGGTGGAGTGCTTACACTAATAATCTAAAGTACTCAGTAAGCTGAGATCTGAGGATTGCAGATCAAAGCCAGCCCAACCAGTAAAACCCATAACTCTTATTTTCAATTAAACAACAAAAAGCCAGAAGTAAAGGTATAGTCAAGTGGTAGAGTACCATTCTTGAACAAAAAAGACAAGCAAGAGTGAGAGACCTTGAGTTCAAACTTATTATTGAGTTCAATCATTTCAACAAAGAAGCCACCAGGCTACTGCTGCCTGCAATTCTTTCAGAAGAAAATGCCTCCTTGACAAAGTACCACCAGAGAAATCACATCCTGGGCATCCCCTCTCAGACCACCGCAGTCACCTACCTGGGAACAACTGGGCAGTTCTCCAGCTGTTCAGGACAGCACAGGACACAGGAGTTGTCTCCTACAGTGTGGAGAGCAGTTAGGACAGGCTTTCACCATCAGCATTTCAAAACAGAAGCTGTGCTGTGCTGTTTAGAAATAGCTAACAGTTCTTGCTTGCCTCAAGTCAGTGAGGAAAGAAAGAGAATGGAGGGAAGAGAAGTACATATGGCCCAGGATGTAGAGGAATGCAAAGGCTTACACCGTCAGTGAGGGTAAATCACAGTGTGCAAAGCTTCTGGACAGGTCTCATGAACATGTCCCCCCAATTGCATTCCCCAAGGGAACTTCAACCATATATCCACATGAAGATGCACACAAATGTTGACACATTACTCAAATTACTAGCCACTCAGATTTCTACCTCCAGGAAAACAGAGAACCCAGTGACAGTTCATGCACACAACAGAATACATTCAGCAACAAAGAGCAATGCATTTACTATCCTAACTATGCAACATGGGTAAAGTTCAGACATAAGGATAACCAGAAAAGCACATACTACATGAGATATGGTGAAACTAATATATAATAATATAACTAATATATAATGACAGCAGATTCATGGCTGTCTAGGGTGGGAGCCTTGATGTCAAAGGGCATAAGGGAATGTTTGGGGACAATCTTGACCACGCTGATAGTTTGTCAAAACACATCCAGGTACAATGGGTACATTTTATTACAAGTAACTTATGCCTTAAAGTTCAGTACTAAGGCTTGGATCAGGGTCTTGCACCCTCTAGGCAGGTGCTCTACCACTTGAGCTTAGTTACAAGGGCACATCACTGTGCCCAACTTATTAGTAAAGGTGAAGGCTAACTTTTTGCCCAGATTGCCTTCAAATCTCTGTTAGGAACTGTTGAAGTGTTTTCCTTAAATTATTCTATTTATTTTTCACAAACATTTTGCAAGACAATACTCTTAGGATTTAAGAATAGACAACTGGAAGGGGGTGATATTGATTATGATGCATTGCACTCAAAAACTCACGCCTGTAGTCCTATCTATTCAGGAAGCTGAGATCTGAGGATCAAGGTTCCATGTCAACTCGGGCAGGAAAGTCTGTGAGATTCTTATATCCAATTAACTACCAGAAAACTACAAGTGGTGCTATAGGATGGTAGCTTAGTGGTAGAGTGTTTGCCTAGCATGCATGAAGCCCTGGGTTCGATTCCTCAATACCTCATAGACAGAAAAAGCTGGAAGCGGTGCTGTGGCTCAAGTGGTAGAGTGTTACCCTTGAGCAAAAGAAGCTCAAGGAGGGCTGGGAAGGTGGCTCAGTGGTAGAGCGCTTGCCTTGCCTGCTCAAGGCCCTGGGTTCGATTCCTCAGCACCACATAAGAAAAAAA